TTCATCTTGATTTGAGACTTTTGGTATAGTACATCTCTTTTTCTAAACCTGTTTGAGAATCAACGTTCGTTATCAATATCTGGTTTGCAGGGAGGTTCATGAGTTTGTTTTAAAGATTTTATATGCGGTTATTAATGGATTTTTTCTTTTTTTTTTTTATTTGTGTGTCTTTGTTTTGTTTGGTCATCTGAACGTTGGACTCTAAAAAATCCCTAAACCCCTGGATCTGATATGCGCCAGGAGTACTGAGTCAAACCCTTGCAGAACTTTGTCAATACATGGTGCTTTTTAATACATACATAATTGAAATATGTATATATGTATATGTTTGTGTGTGTGTTGTGTAGATCTGTATTAAAGGGGTGCCTTAAACTCTATGTGCAAACTCGATTAGGGTACGGTTAGAACTGCTAATCATTAATTAGAGATTTGTAGTTTTATTTTGTGACATATTTCAGTCCATGATGACAGATCTCAGGCAAGTGAATCTTGGTCTTTCAAGCAAATAGATTATATAGATACATAAATAAAGGTAAATATCTTGGCGATCATGGACCTATCTTTTCCCCTAAAAAGCCTAGGGGTTTTGATCAGGCTACAATGTTTCAAATGTATGAAATCATCATATTTTGCTTGTACCAGTAAGAAATGGTTAATTTTGGCCGTGCATTAAGAACTGAACAACAGACACACCGCACACATATATAAACTTGAGGCCTATCCTTAGTTTGTATTATATATCTTGATTTTAGCCCCTTTTTTAGTATTCCTATTGTTTGTTAGTTATTATTTCCTTAGAAATTAGCTATTGCTGATGTATAGTTATCTCTCCTTTTTTTCATTTCCTTTTTTTAAGTCAATACTATCTCCATTGTCCAAGGAACTACTAATGCCAATTGCATATTTAGCTACAAAAAGTGTGATAATGGTATATTTGATATGTTATTTTCATGTGTGCTCCAATGCATAATGCTATTTTAAATGCTAAATCAACTTTATGTGAAATCATTAAGCTTTGGAAGTTGTAAAAGTAAACTTTTAATTTAAATAATTTGAAAATGCTTATTTTTAGCATTTGAGTAGGAAAATCATTCTCCAAAACAATACTATTTTTTGTACTAAATTTATCATTTGCAATTGGTGGTAAATTTTCCTCCAACAATAGCATGTGTTGAATTTAGCACAAAGAATAACATTGTTTTGGAGAGTTATTTTTCTACCTAAATGCTTAAAATTTAGCATTTCTTTGGAGATGCTCTAAGAGAACTTGAGAACATTTTTACATGTATACATATATATACTCAAATAACCTGAGAATAATTTTATCTGGTCTTTTATTGGTGTTATTAATATATTTAAGTTGGACTAGAATAACATCTCTCTCTTTAGGCAAACAAATCTTTTTTAATTTAGAGAATAACTAGGCTTGAAAACCCCATTTTGAAAAGGTTCCTTAATCCATTAATGTTAATTTCATCTTTGACTGTTATGTTCCTTTTTTTCCTTTCAATTTTTTTCTGAGGTATACAGGTTCCTGTTTCATATCAATTCAGCTAGTAAGGTATGCATGTACTCGTCTAAGGAGGGGATGAGATCAGTACAAGACAACGAGATGCAAGTTTATTTACCAACCTATATGATTCAAAAAAATTTCCCAGCACAGGATCGTATGGAGCTCTTCTTAAAGTATAATATTTTTATCATATGTATGTGTATAAGTGTATATATATGTGTGGCGATACATGAAAGACCAATTACAAACTTTACAGTACTTTGTAATAATCTTCTATATATGCCAAGCCAGAGAAGAAATTTGTAATTTTCTTTCGTATGAATAGATTATAAGCAGAAGCTTTCTTTTCTTTTTTTTTTTTTTTTTTTTTTTTTTTATCAGGCCTTTGAGGCAATTCATGATTTGTAATCCTAATTAAATAAATCCATTTTTTCAGGTTTTTCAGTCTGTTCCTTGTATTAATCTCCACTGCGTTTCTTTTCTTTTTCTTTTTTCTGTCAGAGTTGCATATATCAAGTTATATATATATGTATATATATATATATATATATTGATCCATGTCCCAGACTTCAGAGGCATGGATAAGCTGATCAAGACTAGTTTATCCAGTACTTTATAAACTGATCAGTCGAAGAACTAATATATATGCACTTAATTTTGTTTCTCAGCCAAGGTCTTGTGTGTTTCTTTCTAATCCTATCCCTTTCTAATATTTTAACTTGTGGAAGAACTGTTTTAAAGGCAGTTTCCTATAATAATTTGCAGTGAAGAAAATTAAGCTAGCGCTGTAATAATTTGGTTATATATGCCAAAACACAAACTACTTACCATACTTTTTTTTTTTGCCCCCTAACCCTAGAACTATAATGGAATTGGGGCCAATTTTATTTCGAAAAAACCAAAAAAAAAATTAAATTAGTAAGACCGGTTTTTGTTTTTCGTGAAACCTTAAAAGTGGAAAAGGTTTATTGAACTTACAATAGATAATGTGATTTAAATATTCAAAACCTGCTTTGTAGGTTAGGTGTTTCTGCTTACTGCTATGATCCTAGGAAGGGGTGCTATATATAAATATATATATATATATATATATATATATATGAGAGAGAGAGAGAGAGAGAGTTGTTTATCATCAAGCTAGTTAGGTTGGCTTCAATCATGCCGATGAGGATGCGTGGTTAGAGTCTAGAGATCAGAAAAAAGATATTTCAACAGTATATAGTACAACCTACCCTCATCGGGGACATGTTTCCTTTTTTTTTAAAAAAAAAAAAATTTGATATGATTTTAAATACATCTAAAAAACTGGCCTCGTTCACTTCGCTGAGTCGAGTTTAGAATTCGAGTTTTTCTACAGTAAAAAACTTTCACAAACAATCACATATAACTTTTTTCTTACAGTAAAAAATTCTCACATAAAATCACATATCAACTCAAATTTTAAATTTAAATCAGCGAAATAAACGGAACAGCATGCACAATTATTCCATCCTAAGAAGATCCAAAAATTAATCTTCCTATACAAATAGAGCCTTGAGGTACATAGTACAACCTATGTACACTGTCCCTGAAGAAGTACATATCGGAAACATGGATAGGTGGAAACCGAAAGCCCTCTATAGCATGATATTTCAACAGTAATTTTGTTCAAATTAGTTACCGATTTAAGGCTGTGGATAGGAAGTCAAGGGACCAATATTTCAATTCTAACAATGGAAGTGCACATTAGCATGATTTGTATCATATACATCAAAATCAAAGAATTTTTTCAAAAGACGTAAAAAGGACATTATGTACTTTTATGGCCAGTGTTTTGAAAGAAATTAAACTTTAGTACACACCCGGAATTTGAAGGAATGAAAGTGTACGCGATCTGACAATTTACTACTTTAGTTGCCTTATTTTGTTTTATAGCTAGTGAGTTTTGTCAAAAAAGAAAAAAGAAAAAAGAAAAAAGAAAAAGAAATCACTATATATCTTTTGTTTTAAAAGAATATAGTAAATTTTACGCCTTCAAAGACCACTTAATAAAACTATGAACATCCCTGAATAATCTAAATAGTTTTTTTTTTTTTTTCTTTAAGTCAATCTAAATAGTTCTATAATTAGCAAAAAATAAAAACTGTAATTAATTTAATTTCAAATTTACTACAACCATCACAAAAAAATTAGTACAAACTAAAATCGTTAAATTAATTGCAACCAACCAAACTCCTGCATTGCAAAATAATAAAATAAGGCTAGCTTAATTGGTGTCTAGTGTATGTATAAGTTACTTTTACTGTTTAAATCGTGGGTTAAGTCTTAGAGGAAGCAATAATAATAAAAATAACAATAAAAAAAAGAGCTCATGTTTGACCAATTTTTGTTTCTGAAACTTTTGCTTCCTGACATGTTTCAAAATTTTCTCAAAAATTAATGACATGTTTAGTTCACGTATTTAAATTAGTTATTTTAATTTTAAAATTTAATTTTATAAAAGAATCACTGGCAGAAATTTTTATAATTCAAAATTTTTACAAGAGAAAAGTACTATAATAGAATTAAAATCATGATTTCAAACACGTGAAGCAAACAAGTCTTAAGTATTGAATAACAAAGCAAGTACAACTTTCAACTCCGGTCATTAGGTTTAAATAGCCAATTTGTTATTTTAGAAATACGGGTTTGTTCGGTTGCATTTTTGAGTTATGATGACTTGAGTGTAGATTTTAAGTTGAATTTGAGTTATAACTTAAGTTAAAGTTGTAACTTGAGTTTGTGTTTGGTTGTGTACATTTGAGTTATGGTTTGATACGAGAATCTTTTTGAGTTTGTGTTTGGATGGGTCAAAACTTAAGCTTGTATTTAAATAGTATTTTAATAAAAACTCAATAATGATGAAAAATTTTAATAGGGTATATGAATAGGATTTTATTCGTCTCTTCGTTGTGAACACATAAAAAAAAGAATCATCTTAATCAGGATTAAAATGAAAAAGTTATAACGTTTTTAAAAATAAAAAAAAATATTGTTCATTAACTTTCACATTTTTAACTATTAATTTTAACTATTAAAATAACTTTAAAAAATCATGAAAAATTCAAAATTTGAAAGGAAATAAAAAGAAAAAGAAAGATATCGATGAAATTAACTTGAGTTTGAGTTTAGGAACTTAAATTGAAGGGGAAACTTGAATTCAGATTTTAACCCCAAACTCAAGTTAAAATTTAAGTTAAAACTCAAGTTCAAACTCAAATTTTACAAAAGAACATGAAGTTAAATAAAATTATAACTTGAGTTCAAACTTTTTTTTGAATTTGGGTGCAAAAGACAAGGCCATATCATATCCCAAGCGTATAAATGATATAGGGAAAACTCCTACTCCACACTTGATTTAGCCTAAAGACCGAGAAAGGTATTAGAGAAACCTTCTTCTGAAAATTAAGCAAAACATCCATTTAACACAATCGCGCAGAGAATGAGGAACAAAAAAAATGTAGTGCCAGTGCATTCAACGGAATATTTAATAATTCATGTTACAAGAAACGGATATAGAATTCTCAAGTGTCTTACTCCTATAGTAGAACAAAAAATAGAGAAAAAACGACAACCTACTCCATACGAAAGTACAAGATATTTAATGCTGTACTTGGGAGATTCTCGGGTCCATTCTCTGAGAACCAGGAGTTTATGATGTTTTCTGATGCACCAGAAAAACTTTCCGGCCACTTATCAACAAGCCTGAAACCAAATTTTGAAGCAGTAGAAAGCAGAGATGGCTCATCCACGCGGCGTATAATGTGACACAGAATTAATGCAGGTTCCTTGTCCTTACTAATCCCTTCACTAGACAAAATCAACTCTTTCGCAGTCGCAAATAGGGACGAAATAGCTTCAGCGATGTAAGTCACATCTGTGCCTATGATGATATCAAAACCTCTATTGTTTATTTCCTTAATTGCTCCTATGTGGTCCCTATTCCCCCACAGTAATCTCCTAACAAGCAATTTGTCCAAAGATGGTGGTTCAAGATTTGAAGTGACGTTTTGTGTCAAGAGATCAAGTGCTTTTGTATCTCCATCAGTGGCAATCACATGATCAGCATATTTAGCTGCAACCATAGAGCATATGCCCCCACAGCCAGACCCCAACTCTAACACCCTTTTCCCAGAGACAATGCTTGGATTTCTTGCTAAAACAGAAGCCACCAAACGAGCCGATTCCCATAACATCAGACCAGTAGATTTGCAGGTATGCTGGTACTCTCTCGACAGCCTTTCAATCTCGAAATTCAAATCTCCAAGCTCGATTATCTAGAGTACAACATAGAAAAATATAAAGAAGAAAATAGTAGCAAGTACAAATAGAATTAGAATTGAATGAATGCCAGAACAATGACAAAATAGCATACGCAACCTAGTTTGAAAAGCCTACGATAAGATAAAAGAAAGATGAAATCTTACCTCCTTATCGTGGGAGGGTGAGCTTCCAAACATTTCTGCTGCAAAACCTTCCGACAAATCAACCTCAACATTTTCCCCAGCATCCTTCAACATGTTCTCTTTGACTTGAACGCCAGCTTCATTATTGGCAGAGAGGTTGATGCCGTCTGAAATGTGGAATACTGCTTGAATCCATCGCCTAAAATTAAAGACAATTTGAACACCTAAATCCAATGAGGACGTTGCTACTATTTTAAGGAATCTGGAAATTATTTTATTATGTTTCCCTCAGTAGCTATTAACCTATGAGGTTAGATATGCAACTTTAAGGATTCTTCTTTATAGCACAGGCAAGATCATTTACCGGTTCATAATCAGCTTCCGTGACCGATTCTCAACTTGTTTACAACACAAGCCAAGTTCTTCAACATCAAATCCATTTTCTTTAAACATGCTTGTCAAGAACTCATTCGAAAAGTAGAAAGCACGCTGGAAAAAAAAAAAGGAAACACAGTCAAGCTAACAAATTAAGTAAAGCACTTAAATCATCATGAATATCTTCTCAATAAATTAATTAATTAATTAATAAACAAATGAATACTCACGCTTGACACTTACAGTTCCATCACCTCTGACATAAAAGTTTTCACTAATCTTTTGGTCCTTGCAGGTTAATCTCTCCTGCCAATGTGATATTAGTATAACCAAATCAAATATTCAGGAATAAGTATTCCAGTATAAGATTGGTTGTAAAAAGGCATCACATATCAAAACTCTTAATTACAGATTAATGATGGACTAACAGTAACTAAGACCTAACAAATAACTCAATCTTTAAAAATAAAAGGCCCTCGAGGGTAGAAAAAATACATTACAGATCAACCTGAGCAAGGTCACCAGTGGCATAGTCACGAAACAGCACATAACCACTTGGCTGGAAAAAAAAATGCAATATGGTTTCCACCATACACAGAAATACGTAATTAAATTAGAAACACAATTCCACATAAGAGAAAACTGAGAAGTTTGATCAATCAAACATAAAATACAAGGCAGATCAGAAGCTGCAAGAATGATTATCACTTACCTTAAGAACTTTCCTAATATTTTGCAACACTAGGGGCATCTTTTCTGGGGACACTGCAGACAGCACAAAAATCTGCTTAACAAGTCAGCCACTTCATAACAGGTCAATCGCTCAGTCAGTAGGTAAGTCTCTCTAAATGAGCTTGTGCAAATCAACAAAAATAACTGTTTTCCAAATACCATGGTTACAATATCCACCGACGATGGAGGAATGTTATCTGTCAGGTCATCAGCTGTCAGATCACACACAAATGCGCTAACATGTGAATCTGTGAAGTCTTTATGTGTCTGCAATTAGAAAAATTCAAATTCATTATGTCTTAGTCATCAGGGCTACATAGAGCCAACCCACTAAGAATACCAAATTAATCAAAGCTACACGAACCCAGATTGATTCTCTCTACAGCACAAACAAAGTTCCAGTAACAACAATCTTATAAAGGTATCAACTATCAAGAGTGAAATTCAATCGACATCTAAAGAAACAAGGGATGAAAAAAACCTTAACCAAGTTAACAGCTCTTGGTGAAAAATCACACGCATAGACAAAAATATCTGGGTTTGTTGCAACCAATGGAAAAATCGTGTTTCCAGCTCCACAGCCAACCTGCTTATTGCACAACACGTGTCAAAATCCCTAAATAAATCAAATCTAACACAGAGTTTAAAGACAAAGTTAAGCAACCATATGTTTCTGTGCCATGGAACCAAATTAAGATGGATCGGTTGTGCTTACCTCCAAAATGGTCTTTCTCCCATTTCCCTGAAAACAGAAAAATCATCATATATTCATATGTACTCAAAGAATTAAACAATTACACCGCACAGACAAAAACTAAATCCCATTTCAATTCCTAACTTACTGAGAAGTAATGACCCCATTCCTTGTCCAAGTAGTGCCGATCTTTAAAAAACTGATTACAAAGCAAGAGAATTAGAATACAACAGTTTATTGCCATTGTTAAGATAACATCTTAAAGCCAAATTAGCTAATTAACGTTTTAAGTTTAGGAAGAAAAGAAAAAAGAACTTGAAACTACTGCTTTCACCCTAACTTTCCATGGTAAGAGATGCTACGATTATCATCAGAAGATTGTAAAGAACTAAGGGCCAGTTTGGTTCTAGGACTTGAACCCATGATTATGATTATACTCTTACAAAAAAATTGAATAAAAAGGTTCCCCCCAATGGGTTCTGTTACAAAATTTGAATTCAGTATCAAAGTCACTGACTTGACCGTGTGAACCAAACAGGCCATAAGTTACAGCATGAGAAATCTAGCCAACCTTGTCTTGATGCTGCTTGTAGAAGACATCCCAATATTTCTTGGCATCTCTTTCGTACTTTTCTATAGAACAAAAACATATTTTTTTATCATGATTGTACACAAATGTACACAAAGAGAAGAACATCACATAATAATAAGTATGGGAAGTGGGGTCCATCAATTAGAGATACAAACCTCTCCAGAACTGGGAAACTCCAGTTGCAGAGGAAGAGTATATCTGTATCCTTGGGACTGGTTTTCCTTCCTCTACACCATTTTGCACATTAGATGCCATAGCCTCCCGGGCTTCTTTGGGGGACAAAATATATCTATTACGACAACCATAATTGGAACTTCAACAATCAGTAGAAAGCAAAAAAAAAAAAGAGGAGCTTTTTGCAGAATAATGACCGTGTTATGGTTTAATTTATGATAATAACAAGACTAAATCATAAATCATGCATAACTTTCAAAATGAATTTTTAGAGGAAAATTGGAGACAAAAAACAGAGATGGATATATGAATACAACAAAGGGTTATGGAGGAAATTTATCGTGGAACTTGCTGCAGAAAGTAGAGTTTTTTACGTTATATGAAATGGGCAAAAACCATGTGATCCTGGAGATGTACTATCCAAAAGCATCGAAAAGAAGGGGGAAACAGCAATGAATATAGCCAATGAGATATACCAAACACGGGAAAGAGAAAAGTGAGGAATCAGAAGCAGAGAAGATTGCTGACTCCGCAGGAACTTCGCACCTATCGGATTCCGCCGTGAGAGAGAGAGAGAGAGGCGAAATGGCAATTTACAAAGGTTATAGGGTTTTAGTTCCGACCGGCCAATTTTTTTTCCCCCTCCCTTTGATGAAAAAACGTCAATCGCTCTCTCTCTCTCCCCTGTATTGCTTCGAACATAAAAACGACAATACATAACTTCACGACAAATATGTGGAAAACGACAACAAAAAAGTAGACGACAACACTGGACTTAAACAATAAAACGACACTGGGAGTTAAACGGCACAAAATCGAAAACGACAGCGAATAAGAAAGTAAGGCACGACAAGGAAAAAAGAGAAAAAAACGACAAAACATAGAAAATTTAAAAAATAGAAAGGATAGGGTAAAAGTAAAAACAACGACAAGAAAATAACGAAAACGGAAAGGACAAAAAGTATAGCATAAATAAAACGACAGGAACCATGAGAAACGACTGAAAATAAAAAACGACATAACAAAAAACGGCAACAAGAACGGTAAACGCGTAAAACATGAAGGAAATGACTACAAAGGAGCAAATGACTACAAAGAAAACTTAACCGACGACAAGGAGAAAACGACATAAAAATTAAATAATTAGGAATGTCAAAGGAAAATAGGTGCAAAGACATCAAGAAGAAAACAAGACATCAGAGTAAGAACAGCAAATGAGAGCACCTGAATGAATAAAAGACAACAAGAGGGGCGGAGAAAACGACAAATAAATAAAAACGACGATAAAATGAAAAAATAACAATCTTCTAACACAATAATGTTAACAAAGAAATTCAGTAACAACTGTCATTTTATTCACTTGGTGCGTACTTATTTCTTAATCCATTTATTTATTTTCTAGGACTCTATTACATGTTGAAAGAGATACCAAGCATGCTCCATATCCTTTGAATTACAATATTCTCATCCAATAATATATTCAAGGCAAAAATGCGGTAGTATATTGAAGTTACCGCATTCTATTCCACAAAGTACATGAAAATAAACCGGAAGAATTTCGGATAAGTAACCACTATTATGTCACCAAAAATGCGTTATAAACATTTATAACCAAATTGCTTCTCGTTTCTCTCTTTTCTCCCAGCAAAAGCTGCTGCTTGTTCCTATAACATTTGATTGTTGCAAATTTTCTTATCTCCTCGTCAGGCATAAGAATCACACGCAACTAGCAACATCAAATTTTGCATTTAAAAAAAATATATATAAATGAATTATAACCTACAAAATCAAATTTTGATCCTTCCGTTTCAATTGCTTATGAGTTATGAGGGGGCCTCACGCATCACTGGACTTTTCATCGCTCGGTGAAGCAGAGTTTTTCTGCTCTCTCTCGTCAGCATTGGCATCCCCAGTTTGTTCAACAGAGGTGAACCCATTTTCCGCAGAAGGCACTTCACCATTCTCTGTTATACCTTTTCCCTCTTCATTACTGACCGGTTTTCTGAGCTCTCTTGATGAAGAAACTGTCAGCAGACGACTAACTCCATCATATAAGTTCTTTGCATCCATGATAAGAGCAGCCCCACCAGGGTAACAACGACCAAAGCATGTGGCACAATGAGGGTAAGCGACCTGCAGAAAAGTGCGTGTGGCGGTGCAAAGATTGTTTATGTCATTACAAACAGATGCAAGGTGGGAATCAGCTCATTTCGGAAAAAGAACTACCTCAATAAATGCCCGACAAAGTGAGAGGAAAAGTCCAGACTCATTCTCTCTTAGCATCCTAGTCGTATTGTATCTAAGTAAATAGTCAGAAACAGTCTGCAATCCCTTAATTAATTCTTGAGCCAGTACATGCTTTAAACTTATTGGGGCACAGGGGCGCAACTCATTCATTGCTGCAGATACACCTGAAGCCAAAACCTAGAGAGGTGAGTGCCAAAATTAAGATAGATATTTTCTTTCTATGTTGCAGCAATCTAGTCCGTCTTCCACGGAACTGTATATCGATAAATTAGGTGTGATGAGACACCCACTTTATCTCAGCTGAGAAACATTTACTTACCATTAACAAAGACAGCAAGTGGTGGGTGTTCCATCAGATAAGAAGGCGGAGTCACCTCCTCCTGAGTTTCTTCAACAACACTATTTGCTGGAAAACCAACTGCCGGTAGTGGGACCCAGCGATGTGAATCCAAGACCAACTGGAATGCATAACAATTGATTGAAAGATCAATGTACAAACAAACAAGTTTGTTTCTGGGTAGATAATGATTTTGCATTTTTTTTAGCTGAAGTAATCATGATTTGTTTGATTATTTATCATAGTAATACAAATTTAACATTCACCATTGGTTGGCTAACCTGAAAGTTCTCGACTGCTGTACTCATATTTTTTGAAAATAAGTTAAGCACTGCCCTGCAAAGTAACCAAATTCATATTTAAATGGAATCCAATATTACAATAATACCTTGTAAAAGGAACAAAAGAATATTTGTGTATGTATGTATGAAAAAACATAGTACTTACTCTTCAAAAAGTGGTGGAAGCAGCCCTCGAAAATCGAGTCCAACCCAACCAAGCCCCATAGTACAATACTGTCGGTAAAACAAACAAAGGATGTCAGCATAAAATTCTGAATGCAACAAAACTTCTGTTACTACTCTGAATTATCGTGTGCTAAAAGCAGGATTTGAATGCTGCAAACGATTTAAATTCAGTTTTGCTGGTTGCTGATAGTTCATGCCAGCGATGAAAATTCCAAAAGAGAATAAAAGAAGCTCCTTAGTAAAAGAGAAGGGAAAAAATAAAAAACAGCAGTATGAAAACAGAGCAGTAGAATCCTCTGCAGCATAAACATCATAAAATGCTATTTGTAATAATAGTCTGAGAATATGCATGCATGTCACAGGAAGTAATTGAGGTCTAGAACTATAGAGGATGACTGCATTCTGACATGTAATCTCAATCAAAATAGCTCAACATGTGATAGGGAAAATAACTAAGGAAAAGAAGCTTACCATGCATTGATCCAATATATTTGACAAAGATCCTCCTTCATTTATCTTTGGGAGCATGACTTTAAGAGTTTTAAGGTGTGAAGTGATCTGATGCATGGGCCAACTGAAGAGAAGCCCACCATCATAGTTTTCTTCACTTCCTGATGTATCATCAGCAAATATTGCGCGATATTGATTGACAACATCAAAGAGATGCATCCGATGACAATTGATCATCCCCTTTAAGTACTCATAAGCATTTCTTTGGTCAAGATCCTCAAGAATTCCAGAAAGCCATGCCTCCCGGCATCTCAGAAACTAAACCAAAAATTTAGTCAGATACAAAATGTTGAAGTATATGCAAAGAAAGAGTAACTGAGCAACCTTGAGCCCTAAAACAGCATACCCAACAAGGTGTTCATTTCATATGTTTATAACATGAGATATGTATTCCGAGTAAGCACCAAAAAGCATCTCTCAAATGTTACATTCTAACCTGCAAACGCATTTCATACTCGCTGAAGACTCCAATTCGACGCAAGTATCCGATAATCCGCAGGCATTCTGGTAACTGCAAGAAATAAATAAATACAACCACAAGAATATATAAACCGTCAAAACCATGTCTCTAAATGTAATCAAATTGCTGACTTGCTATTCCCACATAATGACAAGATACCTGAATGTTGGAACGAAGTTTCTGGAGAAGCTGAGAAAGAAGAGACTGGGTGGTCTGCCTCACTTCTGCAGCCAGTGCTTGAATAACTGGTAACCTTAGAGGATAAAACAGGAAGTGAATGAAGAGGAATAAAACCTCAGACTGTGGCTTTCATGCGGTTGAGAACTACTGGAAAAAGCATTAGAGGAGAATAATAGAGACAAACTAACTTGGGGTGCATAGTCGAGAGTTTGCCAACAAATGCTTCCAAGTCAAGTGCTTCATCATAATTCCCATTCCTTACACATCTGGGAAAAACAAGTGGATGTATAACTTTAAGAATTAAAAATTATAACTTTAAGAAAAATAAGTGGATGTATAACATAACTTTAAGAATTAAAGTTATAACTTTAAGAAAAACATCTAGGAAAAACAAGTGGATGTATAACTTTAAGAATTAAAAATTTCAAGGCAAAGCACGTCTCCTCAAGAAAATGGTATCAGGGAATGCAGAATGAGAAGAAAAATATTGCATACAGTACTCCTAAAGGAAAAACAAGCATAGGACCATTTTTATGTGCTCGCTTCGATAAAAATCTATAGAGTAAAAATATTCCCTAAATTCTGCAAGATAACCATCTAGGTCCCCAAAACAAGCTATGATTCAGTGGTTTCATGAAAAGACATTTTAAACAGAACAGCAACTGAATGCAGGGGCAATGGTAGATGTCTTTCTGTGACAAACAAAATCCATACAGTTCACCTGTACATGAAAGCATTGAAAGATAAAACCTTTCCATTTATGTCAAATGGATTCCAAAAAAGTAGACTAATATTTCAACATCCAAGAATAAGCTTGGTAATTTTCTCAAACACATACGTGTCCATGAGCTGAGGGATTTCGAGCAAGTCAAGCAAAGTACTATGATTTGCTAGCAATGTTTGGTTCATCTTCCTCTTTTCCAAAATCTGTTCTGCAGATTCGACAAACTCGGTACATCCAGATGTCAACTTAGGGATGTCAGCTATCTACAACGGAAACAATGATCCGTCAGCAGACACAAACCCAAACATTCAATCAAAGCCATCCAAATAATCTATCCTCAAAGAGACCTTCCAAACACAATGGAAGAGGTACGTTTCAATAATCGGGAATCGCTAACTAAGACTTTTCTCATAAATTACATAATGAAACTAAAACTAAACATTCAATGCATCAAAATCTCAAATGCAAAACATTTGCAACATCTCCGAAATAAGGCCGCAATAACGTCTGAAATTCAAGCTGCAAAGTTCAATTCGAAATTTTAATTCGAGATAAGAAATGCCGACGTACCATAGATTCAAGATGCTTGTCAATAGAAGTCACTTCCTCGCGAATCGCGAGCAACGCGTCGGCAGCAGAAATGAACGCTCGGTAATTATTCACCGCCACCTCTTGCATTTGCCTCCGAATTCTCTCGGCATCGACTCTGAGAAGCTCAGGTTCCTGAAAAAACCGAACAGCCAGAGCCATAGCCGAATTAACCACATGAAAAAAAAAAAGCAAAATTCGCACAGCGATCTCAGAGCTCAACAGAGTAATCACAGAGAGCGAAAGAAAGAAAACCTTGTGGAGGCGATCTAGGGTAAAAGACAGGAGCTCGGAGACGTAGGGTTGCTGTGAGGCGGAGGCGAGAGGGAGAAGACCGCCGACAGTCGAAGCCTCCTCCGCTGCATCCTCGAACTCCATGATTTGGAGCTCCGAAAATGGCTGATCTGTGAAAATGGAAGCGGCAATTAGGGCTTGGAAACTGGCAGGGTTATGGATCTAGCGGAATGGTGCATCAGCTCCTCGTTCGGTTCCTCTACTGTGATTCGGGATCTGGAATCTCTGGAACGATTTCTTGCGCTTCGCTTAGCCCGTTAGAGACGACGAGGCTTGGCCATGTCAGCGGCACGGGGGTTTCTGTGGGGCCCAATCTGTAAACTGAAATCAATCTAAAGTGATAGAAATTTGTGGCCGTCCAATTGGTATACTTTTCCTAAGTAGCTTCCGTCTTTATTTGGAATTTGGATGATGACATGATACTGGAAGTAGAGTACCTTTGGTTGGAAGATTCGTTCTCTGATTTGAATAATGGTTCATAATTTATTATAGTATTTTCTTTCATAAAAAAATATACATAAATTAAAACTAATTTTAATCTCATAATTCTAATCTATGAATCAAACGGACTTTTAGTGCTTTTATGTTGGGGGAAGAATGTTGACCAAAAAATGTGTATTTCCTTAGGGCCAAAAAAAAAAAAAACTTGTATTTCTTTTATTTTTTTTTATTTACTTTGACAAGTTTATGTCGTTTCTGACGACCAAGTCCGCCAATGTTTGAATTGAAAACATGTCGTTTCTCTTCTAGATGTTCGTTCTCGTTTTAGTAAATAACTATTTAAAAAATAACGCATCCTGTCATTTATGTCGTAAAAGAACTTGAAATTCCTCGTGCCGCTGTTTAAAACAGGAAAATACATGTCATTAGAATTAGAAGTTCCAAAATTTCTTGTCGTTTATAGGAATGTTTTGTTTTGCGATTTAATCCTTTCCTGTCGTTTATTGAGGAAACGACTCTCAATTCTTCTCTGAAATTTCACCGTGATTTAAGAACAATGCTATTTTTTTTTTCTTTTGCATCACGTCAAATGCTTTCACTAAATATAGTACTTGTAAAATTGCTAAACTTACTTTTAAAATGTAGTCTATATTTTTATCTCTTATTTTTAATTATATTAGTTAAAATTGAGATATTAATTAAGAGTAAATGAGTAAAAGGCCTAACATTTGTCTCCTTTCCTTTATCAACGTTTAGGCTAGTCATAATAACTATTTGATGTAAGTAATAGCATGGAATTGGCATTAAAAAAAAGATAAAAACCAGTTTTATCTTTAATTTTATTATTAGTAATGGAAAAATTAGCCAGAACACTCATTTCTTCAGAAAAAACTACATGCAGTTCAACAAAAATACTTCATGTGGTTTATGTTTGGGAATGGCCGTTGTGGACTTTTTGTTTAAAGTTAATCATTAAACGGTAATAACAAGAATATGGAAAGTGACATTACCTTAAAAATAACAAGCACAAAAACAATCCTTACAGAAACGATAACTATTTAAAAACGACAATAGGCATGGAAAAACAACATTAATAGTTTTAAGGCAATAATGACATTCTTGGAAAGTAAAAATTAACCTGAAAAATAAGAACATTGACAAAACGGACAGTAATCTTAAAAACGGTAATAACTAACCAAAATGATAGTTTAAAAAAACCGAAAATAACATTGTGAAAATACAACACTGATAGTTTAAAAAAATCAAAAATAGCATTGTGAAAGTACAACACTGATAGTTTAAACTTTAAAAGCGGTAACAATAATATTGAAAATGCGATGACCTAAAAAAGAACATGTATAAAACCGAAATTTAACACAAGAATATAACAAAAATAGCTTGAGAATGATTTATAGAAACAACAATTATTGGGAAAAAGAAAAGAAAAAGATAATATCCTCGAAAACGACATCAGCTGTTTAAACTTAACAACAGTGATCCCCAAAAATGGCAATAACCTCATAGATTGGAGGAAACGACATTGATAGCAAAATTAACAGCAATCTCAAGAAACGGTAATATATATATATATATAT